ATAGCAGATGTTCTCATTGATTTTAATAACGACGAAATACATCTTCAGCAATTTTCGTTGACAGACATTGGGTGAGTACATTAGGTAAATCAATTTGGCGAGAAGCTGACACGGTGACGGACATCAACGCTACATTCTATATATCTGATCAAAAAAGTTTGTTCGAAAGAAAAAATACATAATGGTTAACCGTTGTGTGTGGTGGTGTTAGAATATCCACTACCCCATATAATCCATTGGGTGCGACAGAGTGAGGGAGGGAGAGGGAAACTGAAACAGGAGATGGGCAGCAGCACCCTCCTGATAACCCGCCTGCTAAGCGTGGCAGCCAGGACAAAATCCCACTTATTAGGCAAATCTATGGGGAGGCAGTTCAGCAGTGGAATTTCATAGGCTGGATTGGATTGGGTACAAATGGAAACCGATTTGATTTTTTATTAGGTCTTGTGAAGTATCTTTGGTTTGCAATTCTCAGCTCCGCTAAAATCTAAGTAGAACTTCAGCACAATTAAACATAAAAGACAGAAATTTCATCACCGCATCTGCGGAGTGAAGAAATAGATCACTGATGTGAATGGAGAATTTTTAAATAATAAATAACGTATTCTAATAAAAATCTTGTCGTTATGTATGTTGACAACTTTTTTACAGACGACTGCGAGTAAGGCTTACCGGCAATGTACTTACCGATTGGTTAATTAATCCAGTCATTAATGTATTTATAAGAATATTTGACACGATCATTATCAAGTATGTCGAGGCAAATATTCGCTCAACTTTACAAAACGGAATCAATTTAATCAATACAAATCTGCAAGAAGTAATCAAACATCTTGAATCATATAATTAAATTTCGATATGCGATTATTTAAATAAAGAAGATGAGTTTGTTATTAGAACTGTGTATTATTTTGGCGGCCCCTCTGAATACGAAGAAAAGGAGAGAAAAGGATATCGCCTGTCCACCAACAAAAAGCACCCATTTTGGTCCTCAGTGAGTATTTGATGAATGGCTCTGTCGCCGACCAGGTTTTGGCTGCGGAGGGTAATTTGGCTGGCTACTTGCATGCATACACAATGTTAGTTATTAATTGGTGCAAATTTAACCTGTCATAGCTGTTATGATATTAGCAAACGTTTGATTTTTGTAAGTATCTTATGTATGTACTTATCTAGTTTCTCCTTTTTATCAAAATCAATGACGAGAACTCCTATGATCAAATTTCTCTAACTCTGATAGTCTTATTACAAAATTTGGTTTATTGATAAAATCGTGTTTAAACTATTATTTTAGAAAAATCTTTCTAACCAGAGAAGTCTCCTAGCCGTGTCGCCATAGCCTTAGCGAAATTTAAGAGTTGCTGTCAAATGCCATACTTTACATTTTAGTTGGCATTTTTCATTAAATTAAAATGCTAATGAAACCAACTCTAGTTTAAACCTGAGACAACATGTAAATTACTTTACAAAAAAGTAGTATATATATTCATCATTTAGTAGTATATATATTCATCATTTCAATCTCAATAGTTATATTGAATAGTCGTGCCACACGGGAGCCAAAAATACCACACCCCTTCCCCGATTCTAATTAAGTAAAAACGTATTTGAAAACTAGCTTTCCGCATGTCACGTTGACCACGTGGATTATAAAATAAATAAAAAATTGTTGAGGCGAAAAAGAAGATATCTCTCGCAAAGCAAGGTGATCAGCCCGAGGAATGGTCAATGTTCCGTGTAACTACTCGCGCAGGATAAGAATGAGATTATAAATGGCATATCATCTATTCATCTCTCGCTTGTAGATTGCCGATGTCTACTCACACCCGCCGGTAATAACCACATAAATAATGTCATTTATAAGTTGCGTTAAGCGTTTTTGTGCTTCATATTTCAGGCCCGAGTAACAAAACGTATTTGTTCAATATACTTTTGTTTTGAGTATTAACTTGTTTTGTAGTAGTATCACTTATTAAATTACCACAAATAAATATTAGGATTTCTTCATTGATAACATCGTCATTTAATATTCTGTTACTAATTTAATCCCTCAATACCAACAAAACAAAGTTTATATGCAACAGCAAGAGGACGTGACACCTACATTAGAATTAAAATTCACACATATGCATGCAATCGCAGACGGTGACCTGACCAGTGTGACTGTTGCTTTTAATATATTTATTAAATTATATTATATCCCATAGTAAAAAGTAAGCTTTAACATTCGATCTCCTACTCCTAGAACAAGCTAGGTGGTGCTAGGCCCGACTGCGGATGTTGCTCAGGGCAACTCGCGATTGTAAGTAATAATTTCACGCAAGAAATGGTGGATAATGTAGCGCGCTATTTATCCATAGCGCTTAACGCGTGCCATGTATGTAGCCGCCATGGCACTATGGCGCATTGTATTTAATCCTTCCACTCCTCATTATTTAAAAAACCGTTTCCAGTATTTTATTTTTATTTATTTATTTATTTATTTAGGCTTACCAACTAAACACATACAAAACATTATTATTAAACATTTGCAGTTATAAACAAAATTATGCTATATATGTATTTAACTTACAGGTATGCACAACATTTCAACATGAAACTTAAAATTAGTTTTGAAATTAACAGATAATAAAATATGATATAAACACAAAGACTATTCTATGCAATACAGGTAAAATTGTAATTTGGTAGAGAGCTTAAAATTGTATAATTTAAAGTTGTATAATTTAAAGTTTTAATTTTCAGTTTGAGTGTAGTATAGAAATATTTTCTTTTGTATGGAACCCAGACTATCACTAAAGATACCTATATTACATTTACCGATATATCATTGTGCTTTCTCATCATAGAACATAGAGGAGAGTTGTTACCATAATTTTTGCTATTGAAATTTACACTAAAGGGACCAAAATTACACAATCTTGCTGAAACTCTGGGCACCTTCAAGTTAATTTGTGATAGGAGGGATGGACAATCCACTTTATTATTAAGTAGTTTATGTAAAAGGCTTATAGATAGCAAATTCTTTCGCTGCTCCAATGATAAAATTTCGAAATGCGCTAATCTTTCAGAGTATCTGCGAATTGTACGATGAACGCCACTTACATAAGATATTTTATTTAAAAATCTTTTTTGGATTCTTTCTATACGCTGAATATTATTTTGATAGATGGGTACCATACGACTGAACAATAATCAACATGACTGCGGACCAGTGCAAAATAGAGAACTTTTAACGCTAAAACAGACTTAAAATCTTTGGTGTTTCTGAAAATAAAAGCCAACATTCTTAACGATTTGTGTATGGTATTGTTTATGTGGTTAGTGAATCGCATCTGTGAGTCAATAGCAATGCCTAAGTCCTTCACTTCATCTACTTTCGCTAAATATACACCATTCATATTGTAACTACTATTATATTTGTTAAATTTTCGAGAGAATTTAATGTGATAGCATTTATTTGTATTGAGAGACATTTTATTTTGCCGGCACCATTCTGTAATTCTATCTATATCCTCTTGAAGTTGAATTTGGTCTGTGTTATTATTCAAAATTTTGGATATCTTTAGGTCATCTGCGTATAATTCAAAATCGGAGTTACGGATACAATGCTTAATATCATCGATAAACATTATAAAATGTAATGGGCAAAGGTGCGAGCCTTGTGGAACTCCAGACGTTGGGATAATTTCTCTAGAAACAAAACCGCTAATGACTAATCTTTGAGTTCGATCTGTGAGATATGAAACAAACCAATCTAATAAGTATCCATGTATGCCAAATAATGTGTGTAGTTTGTTGATTAGAACTGAATGATTTACTGTGTCAAACGCTTTACTAAAGTCATTATAAATACAATCTATTTCATTCCCTGAGCTCATTCTAGTAAGTGTTCTGTCAACAAATGTAATAAGATTGGATGTAGTAGAGCGTTTTTAAAAAAATCCGTGTTGTTGATCAGCTATAATATGTTTTATATGCCAAGTCAAATAAGGACGAATTAACGATTCAAAAACTTTATTGTGTCTGTCTGTCTGTTTATGTAGTCTGTTAGGTCTGTAGTTGCAGATATTACTTTTATCGCCTTTATGTAATGGTATAATTATTCCATCCTTCCAACGTTTCGGAAATATACCTTCAGATAATGATCTATTAAAAATAATATGTAAAGGTATCGTGAGCTCTACTGCGCATTCCTTCAGAAACAAGGGGTGAATCCCATCACTTCCGGCGCCCTTAGTAATATTTAGAGTAAAGGCTCTAAACACTTCTTAATACTGTCATTATTTAGATAAAGATTCCCCATAGAGAAAGCAGACTTTGGAATTTCCATTTTGTTTATATGTAAACTAATATCAATAGGTTTATATACTAATTCAAAATTTTCTGCAAACAGGTCGGAAGTTTTTTGTCCATTACTAGCTTTTTTGTCTCCAAATTTCATATTAGACGATATACAACCATTATTCTTACGTTTATTTTTTATATGAGTCCAAAAGTATTTGGGGTCTTTAATCACGCTGTCAACATTTTCAATGTATCTGTCATAACATTTTTTTATAATGTTTTAGTTCTAACTTTTAAGATATTGTATTCAAATTTATCTAATCCATTCCTGTACTTTTTAAACTTTTGACGAGATTTTTCCTTTTCTCGTAATAGTTTTATGAGGTTTGTTGTATACCATGGAGGATATGATTTTTTATTTTGTATGCGACGTGGAACAAATTCAGTGATAACTTTTTTTATAATAGAGTAAAACTTCGATACAACTTCATCAACAGTTCAGTTTTGGAACTCCGAAGTCCAGTTGAGGTCGGATAAACGGGCTCGTATACTATCATAATTCGCTAAAAAAAAACTTATATTTAGGAGTTTGTCTTGGAGAGAGCATTTTTGCTTTACATAAAAATAAGTCTACTTCAATTGGGGGATGATAGTTGTCTATTCGAGAAATTATACTGTTTGATTTTTTTTAACGGATATTTCCGCTAAAAAAATCAAACTGATATATCACAGAATGTGTTACTCGGCACGAGGTCGAGAATTTTGGCCTGGTGATTAGAGATCTGACTGTATTGCTTTAGATCATAACTAGACAAGAAGTCTACGAATTCATAACCGAAGATATTATCGAAATTGCTGGGTTTTAGCGATGAATCTGCATTAGAAGGAGTCCAAACAATGTCACGCAGATTAAAATCTCCAAAAATAAGAATATCATTGCATGTATTATTAATGACATTACCAGCATTTTCAGTAAAATGCTTGAGATGAGTTTGATTTAGAGGAGAACGTAAGTAAACTGAACAAACACAGATTCTATAGTTACCCAGCTCTAGGGTTACCCATAAATCTTCACAACGAGATTCAAAATTGTGGTTTCTATAAGCACTAATTGACTTTTTTACAGCGATAGCAACACCACCTCCATCATTATTCTCATTAAAAGTGTTGGATGATCTGTCCCTCCTAAATACTTGATACCTACTATCGAAAATTTCACTATCAAATATACTATCATTAAGCCAAGTCTCTGTTAATACGATTAAATCGAAATTGTTAGCGCTAACTTCCAAAAAGACATCAGGCAATTTAGTCCACATACCGCGGATGTTTTGGTAATAAATGTTAATAGTGAATTTTACAACTAAAAACAATGACCATTGCTAAAAAGATATTAAAATCTAATTTAAAGATTTCAAGGTAAACTGGTGTAATATCACTTTTGCTGGATGTTCATCGTCTTTTCTAACAAAAATTCTTCCATTTCTCACCCATACATATTTGTAATTTTTTTCTTTCGCCCAGATTCTCGTTGCAGCATGCAGTGATTTATTAGCTTGGGTGAGATGTTCACTGATGCGTTCACGCAAGTAAGACGAAAGTGATGGTTTTTCAAAGATAAGAAAGCAAAACGGTATGTGAAATAAGAATAGGAGAGTTAATTGAGCAAGTGGATGAGTTTGTGTATTTTATTTAGCAGGGATGGTAGATATGATAAGGATATAGAACGACGAGTAAATGCAGGGAATAGAGTGAATGGGGCACTACACTCCATTATGAAGAACCAGAATGTGTCAAAAAGGCTAATTCATAATGCTGTGTTAGTCCCTACTTTAATGTATGGTAGTGAAAGCTGGGTGTGGCAGAAGAAGCACAAAAGTAGAAATAAATGCTGTAGAAATGCGGTCTTTAAGGAATATGCTAGGGTTGAATCTGAACGACAGGGTGAGAAATTGCGTGATAAGAGATAAATGTGGTATGCAAGATGATGTTGTGACCAGGATTAAGAAAGGAATGCTTCGATGGTTTGGTCATGTAGAAAGAATGAATGAGGAAAGAGTGACAAAGCAAATTTATATGGCAGATGTGAACGGCAGAGTCGGGAAGGGACGCCCTAGAAAAAAGTTTATCGTCCAAATTGGCGATATTTTGAAAATGGGCCACGTTAGAAGCAGTGGCGAAGCTTCCATTAAAGCCGAAAAGCCAGGCTTGCCTTATTAAACCTGAATCAATCAATAATATCAATCAATAATATCAACTAATAAAATAACTCGTAAAATGTTTCAAGCTATTTCAAATTTCCCGCGCACTCCACTGTTCGACACATGTCGACCGATGACCTCGTTTGCCTTAGCATATACTGCTGTCATAAAAAATGAGTTTTAATAGAGCTAATAGTTGTCTCCCTCGCTCGCGTGGGCTTTTTACGGGGCTTTCGAGAAGACAATCGCTCTCTTTCTAACCTATGGCAAAATATTCCACAATGAAATATAACTACGATTGTATATATAGCAATTAGTATAAAGATTTAAAGCCAAGCTTTTGGAAATAAATTTGTTAAAAGCGGAGGCGCGCGGGCAATACGTTTGCAAGTTCATTTCACGTTTCAATGTTTATTTATTCTGTGTGCTTATCTTAAGCGATTTAATATTACGAGTTCAAAATTTATGCTTTTTTAAAGATTTTTAATGAAAATGGAGGATAATAGTGTTCCTTGTAATGAATTGAAGTGTGTTAAAGTGATAATCGGAGAGGAAATCTTTAAACTTTGTTGAGATAATACACAAGGTTAAGAGTGTATTTCAGACTTATCAATTATCGCAATTAAAAACAGTTATTGGTACAATTAAAACGTTCACCAACATTTTACGTAGACGTAATTAAATCTTTCCATAAGAAAGCGAGACGATTCCACTTATCTTATCTTATCTTTTATCCATTAGAATGTAAATAATTTGTTTTTTTTTAATTTTGTACATAGTTTGTTTGTACTTTCTTCGTGTTTTACTTTTGTTCATGTATTGTATTGGATGTAAATATTTTTTTCTTTCGCTTAAACAAACCCAAACAGCTTTCTTCAAAGCCACCGAAGCTATGCAATTGCTGATATGTGATACAATCTATCTAGCAGTGGTATGCCTTCTGTGTGCTTTTGTTAAACACATCCTTGACAGCACTGAATATGAAACTGAAGCGTAGAGACAGATCAATATTGGTGTATTTTTATAAAACTGCTAAAAACAACAATCTATATTTTTATCAATTTATATCTTGGACTTGCCCTAGCTTGGAGCTCTAGCTTCGCCACTGGTTAGAAGTACCCTTAACCGACGAGCATGTATGCGTAGATATATGGATGTAAAGAGGCGAAAGAGGTATCTCAGGATTGTGCCAAATGGAAGTCCGTAGTCTCTGCCTACCCCTCTGGGTGACAGGCGTGTGTGTTTATGTATGTTATGTTATGTATGTTCACTGATGTAGATAGCTGATTCAACATCGCAAAAGCCTAAAAGTTTGGTGTTCAATTTTGCTTTGGGATGAGACTTGGTATATTTGTATACAACTGCAAGTAAGTTGTCGCGTTTTAATTTACTGACAAATCTGCGTATAACTGTTTCGGGTACTTTTGAGGATGGGTTTTGTTTTTGAACTCTATTGCAGGCAACAATGTCAGTTTCTGTAAGAGGAAAACTAACTACTTTACTGATTTGCATAAGAGTGTTAACTAAGTTGTCTTGTCTGTGCTCTGGTAGACAATGAATTTCTATATTATTTTGCCTCGAGTCCTGCTCACAACCGTCTAGGATATGATGATGATGAAGTCTGCAGTTTGTGATCATATCCTAGACGGACCCAACCATTACATCAGATTTGATAGACCATAAATCCTCGCGAAAGAACACCGATTCCTACCAAGGATGATACGTGAGGCTATTGAAATTAAAAAGCATCCTAATTTCAATAGAGAAGGAGGCTGGGTACTACCACCTGCTTGGTATCCTATAATCAATAAAATTAAAACTAAACCCAAGCATACCACTGCAAAACCTCAGGACATAGTCAGTTCATTTTGCATAGATCGGACCATAAACAGTAATTAAAAAAGCTGAAGGTACTCCGAGTTTAACAATGACATCGGGACGTCAGTCATCTCTGACCTGGTAAGCGCCCGAAACGTCGGGAATTAATAATAAAATAAATAAAAAGTAAAAATAAACGCGATAAAATCCGTAAAAGTAGTTTTAATCGAGTGATTCATTGATAGCTTTAGATAAGGAGTTCTTACCGGGTGTATCATTTTTGATTTTATTACGCTGAGTTGATGATATTTCTTGAATGCGGTCAGGGCATTTCCAGTTAGTCGGCTTTTTAGCACTTGTCAGTTGAACACAAAAGTAATGAAATTGTTTTTTGCGGTTAGTTTGAGAGCAGGAAATCTTTTCATTAGCGTTCAGAGGTTTGTTGCAACCGCCATTACAAGCATTCATTTTTAATAGCAAAAAATAATATAATATAAAAAATATATCAACTTTACAACTCGACCGCCTGAATCTAGCACGGCGACGTTCAAGTAGTGACTAAACACAGCACGGAGGCACGCGAAGCGGGCTCGACTTTAGATTTAAAATTCCCGGAGCTTTTTTTTTTTGCGCCCGAAGCAAATATGGGCAACCCTCCGGAAAGCGGGGGAGGAGGTTGGGAATGCTCATAGCATACCACACAGCCGTGGTTATGTGGTGACTTTTACCCACTAAACCCAACCTTTTAGGAACTGGCTTAACGAGCTGACTAGAGATCTCTAAGCCGTATACGAACGCAACCCTCCTTGGCAGAAAGGAGGGCGCAATTCACGGAGCGGAAATAAAGTCTTATACTCTCGGTTACCCTCGAGTAGTACTGTCCCTTCTCTGTCAATCTTTCTCTCTCTACTCCTTTGCACTCTTCCTCATTTTTTAAGAAATCCTTTACCGTAACTGCTGTAAGTTTGTGGAACTCTTTACCTCTCTTTACTCTTTCAAAATTGTTGTTAAATCGTATTACTTAGAACGCTATTAGACAAATTACTTTTCCTATCTTGTACTCTTTTCATTTAATTTATTATATGATATTTTATATATAACTTTCACTTATATTTATTTGTATGTATTTTCATATTTTTATTATTTTTTGTACGCCCCCCTCTATTTTAGCTATTGTTCTCTATGCAAATGTTGTCTGGAAGAAATCACTTTCAGAGTGATAAGACCGCCTGTTGTACATGTTCTATTTTAGATTTAACTGTATTCGATGTTTTGTATTTTGTTGTACAACAAAGAGTAAATAAATAAATAATAAATTCTCAGCAACCTGGATATTGATTTCGAACATATTGAAGTTGGCGGTGTTTCACCACCGTACCTCCGGAAGCACGTAAAGCCGTTGCTCCTGCGCCTGATCTCTCTTCCGTCGTCTCGGATTACTGTTCCATCGGACTTTAATGGATGCCACACACGGTCAGTTGAAGTCATCAGTTGAACTAATACACACACACACGATTAGTTCAACTGATCATCCAACTGACTAGTTCAAACTAGGGTTGTTGATATTTTTTAGAATGTCGGATTTTCAATATATCGATAATTATAAATATATCATTATCGGAGTTTTATATATCGTGAGTTAATATACAGTAAGCGAATATCGGAGTTTTACATATTGAAAGAAAGATCGATATATCGGCTCTATTTAAAAAAAACAACCGTAAGTCATTTGTTATATTTATTAAACAAATTAAATTATAAATGTATGAAAATGTTAGATTATAATTATTATTAATTATTGTTTAATTTAAGTCAGTCGATTGTGTTTACCAATAGTTTTCAGTAAGAATTAATAAAATAATTATTTGATTTGTTCTATAATCAAATATGTTTTATGAAATAATAAATTTTTCCTATTGTATTAAGTTAGCGTAACACATATAGGTAATCACTATGTTTGTTAATTTGCTTTATTTTTCTATCCCTCTTTGGGAGGAGGGCTAATTTAATTTTTAGTTTAGAAGTATCACAAAAAACTGCGTGACTCCTATAAATTAAAAATAATAAAAATATAAATAAACCTTCGGCTTGCACAATCAGAAAGGTGAGATTATAACTCTCACCTAGGTCTTTATTAGCCCTTTCAAATGAGTTGAAACATGATTATCCTATCTAGTGCCGTCACTAAAATCCTATATCCATCTTCAGATTGCACTATCAGAAAGGTGAGACCATAAAAGTCACCTATGTCTATATGTGCCCTTTCAAATGAGTTAAAACACGATCATCCTATCTAGTACCGTCACTAAAATTCTGTATCCATCTTCAGATTGCACCATAGATAAATAAATATGGATTGCACCATCAGAAACGTGAGAGCATAACTGTCACCTGGGTCTTTATGAGCCCTTTCAAATGAGTTGAAAAACGATCATCATATCCTAGTGCTGTCACTGAGATCCTATATCCATCTTCAGATTGCACCATCAGAAAGGTGAGATCATAACAGTCACCTAGGTCTTTATGAGCCCTTTTAAATGAGTTGAAATACGATCATCTTATCTAGTGGCGTCACTGAGATCCTATACACACTTTTGTTGTCCACCATAATCAGGTAGGTGAGATCATCACAGGCACCATGGTATTTAAATGAGTCTAAAAATGATGGTTCTACGTAGTGGCATAATTGAGATCCTTTACCCAGATATTGAGTCTGCCATCAGGAATGTGAGATTATCACAGTTACCTAGGTCTTTATGAGCCCTTTCAAATGAGTCCAAACATAGTGGTTCTATGTTGTGCCATCACTGAGATCCTAAACATACCTCAGATTCCACCATAAGGAAGGTGAAATCCTCACAGTCCTCTAGGTCTTTATAAGTACCTTTCATATGAGTCCAAACACAATGGTTCTATGGAGTGACGTCATTTAGATCCTAAGCCCCCCTTCGGAGTTCATCATCAACTAACTGATATCATCACCGTCATCTAGATCTTCATAAACCTTTTTGTAAATGATTTTAACACGAAGGTTCTACTTAGCATCACTGAGATCCTTTACCCACCTTCTGAGTCAATCATAAGTAAGGTGATATCATTACAGTCACTTTAGTCTCCATTCTCCGTCAAATGAAATTCTCTAAATATATAAAATAATAAAAAATCTAAACGGCATAGAAATAATGTAAGTAGCCACTAAGAAATTAAGTACTTACACGTAGTTAAAACGAACTGAAGCCAGTGGATTATGATGTACCTGGAAAACTCCGTGGAGTGCCATCAATTAAAAATTTCAACTTAAGACTCCGCACTCACGGTCAGTTTTTGGATGTACGTCAGTTAAACTTACCATTTTAACTGACCGGGTAATCTGACCGGGGACCATTAGAGTGAGGGAGTAGGGTAGACCTTTGCTTGCGCATACACTTGGGCAATAAAATCCTGTCTTGCGCAGATGGCTATTCTCCGTTGAGAATGGCCGCCGTTACTAAAATTCAATCTGGAGCCCTTTATTATAGTTTTAAAAATAAAACACATAGTTGTTTGAATCTTTTAATGATCAAAAGTGAGAATGAGAACTTAGAATCACATAAAATCTGGCTGCTGGCTTTTTGATTTTTTCTGGACAGCAAATAAATACTATTGAACAGCAAATAAATACTAAGTACTAACTTATGTTATTTGATAATTTATTGTAGATTATTTAAAAATTGTCACTTCGTAACTTTAAGTTCAAAAGTGTAGCTTTTCAGAATATTCACGTAACTAGTCAGGCCATGTCAAAACGGGACATTTATACGTATTTTGGGGACGGCGGGACATAAATCTTCAAATCGGGAACGTCCCGTCTAAAGTAGTACGTATGGTTACGTTAGGTATGAGGGAACTCGTATGTAACAGATATACTTTGACGAAGTGACGGCTTCGTGGCGCACTGGCTTGGCAATGAGTGACTGCGCTGGGGGCCGCGGTTTCGAATCCCGCACGGAATAAGTATTTATATGGCTTACAAATAATGGTTTCGGGCCTGGATGTCAGTCTTTGTGCAATTTGTGTTTGTAAACTGCCTCCACGATACAGGAGAAAATCCTAGTGTGGTTAACGTTATAAAAAATACTGGAAAAAACACACTTGAGTGTGCCTAGACCGCCTAGTTTATTTTTATGTTGAAAAGTACTTCATCATTATTTTATTTGGACATCATTGTCCAAGACGCTTGAGATAAAAATTTATTAAAAAAAATACATTTGTTGGTACTTCTTAGTTTACAAGAAGCGCATTGGACGATAGTGTCCAAATAAAATAATGACGAAGTACTTTTCAACGTGGAAATAAGCTAGGTACATACCTCAGTAGGTATGTATTTTATTTTCATGTTGAACAGTAATTATACGTCGACTCGTAAGTAAGCATTCTATAGGCATACGTACGAGTCGTATCATGTTATTCATGTTGTACCTGTCTATAATATAATACAGGTATCGCCACACGAGAAGGCTCTTTTGGTGTGCACCCAACTATTATCTGAAATTATTTTATAAATAAACACTGGTTATATCAATCAATTACAACATAGTTGTATACTACGTAGATGTATTCAACTATTAGTGGGTTATGAAATAATCCTACACTTATGAAAGTGCGATGGGCAGCTTTTTAGGCTTGGGTAAAAATATCGATATATCGAAACATCGATATTTTCTTAAATATTGATTTAAATACATATATATCGTCGATATATCGATATTCAATATTTATCGTGGAGTATTTCTTTCGTCATCCAACCGTTCAATAATACCTATTTGAGCCTTATAGTACTACATTATGCAAAACATGACGATATATCGATATTTAGCAAGTGAATATATCGATACTTTTTAAAAATATCGGCACGATGTAGTTTTTTACTTACTTATCCCCACTCGTCGCTATTGCCCCGCGGGGCAATCACCAAAGTCGAGACTATAAAAAAAATCTTGTAAATATCCATCGGTAAAAGATCCAACAATGAATGAAAGAAAATAAATAAATAAAGAAAATAATAAATACTCAGTCTTCGATATTAATTTTAAAAAAAACATGTGAATTAGGCCAAGTTTTATTAGTATTAATGTTATCTAAAAAATCCATATGGAGATTTATTGTAGATATCCAATACTAGAAATATAATGGACTGAAAAACAATTTGCGTCAATATTCGTTATTTAAAGTACTAAAGGTAATGTCTTCATACGTTATCGATTCATAGCTGCACATTGAAATATTGAATATGTAAAATTATTATTTGCTTAATTAATCATGTTTTTTTTTACTAAATTAATCTTGATTGATTTTAAGTAATTGTTAAAACTGAGGTTAATTACAAGATTTGCAAGTTAGGAAATTCTCAAAATTTATAATAATTAAAATTATAAAAGACATAATTTATTTATTAATAACTAATGATGATTTCGTTATTTTCTTTGAAT